TTCCCCAGTATCCAACAAGAGTTTAAAAATCCTAAAAGAAAACTACAGTCATGATTTCTGGAATAAACCTCAATGAAATTTTCAATTCTCCAAGTATTGCCAAAATTTTGAGATCTTTTATCTACACGTGTGTGTAACTTGTTCTGCATTTGGTGCTAGTACCGCACTTCTTGCTCACACAGACCCCTCAGCGACTTCACTTTTAAGACAGAGTTCCTTGACAGGTTATCCTAAAAGACACTTAAATAGCTTAGTACTAAATAATAATTAAAAAATACATGCAATTACATTTTTATGTCAAATTTGAAGGTAGAGTAACACATTTAGGCTCTAGTAGCTTAAATAACCTTAAGCACCTAAATAGTTGCACTAAAGTCAATAGAACTTCTCACACAAACATTTGTGCTCCAATGCACTGCTGGATTGGGACCGTGATGCTTCTAAAGTGGGGCAGGGGGAGAAGAGTGTAAATCCTAGTAAATGATATATAAACAGACAGAAGTATATAACTAGAGAGTATACGTGTTCCTATCTGCAGAAAATTACTCTCTAGGTCCGAGTAAAGAATTCTGAGAATATAGCAGTAAATTGGACATACTAGCGCTCAAAATTTTGTCATTTACATTCCCTGACACCAAAGARGGCATAGTAGTGTAAATTTTGATCTATTAAACATTCTGTCCAACAACCCACTAAGTAACCTAAGATTTACTAAGCAATCAGGCTTTTAATTTTCTTCTAAAAATATGATTATTATTCATTCGATTTGAAACTTTTTTCATGTACGTAATTTACAGCGGTCTTTTTAATGCTAAATGATGCTTTGATACTGGACACCAGACAAATTAACTTTTTCAAGAAAAAATGTGCTTTACTATGTATTTTTTCTTGCTTCCGTTTACAACCATGCTGAAAAGCACCGACATATTGATGAATCAGTTACACAGTTATTTTTGACTACAAGTGTGCAGCTCATTTTTCTTACTGATGTGTTTCAGAAACCAATCAGAAGTCCTCAAAACCAATGCTTTCACAGCATTTAAAAACATTTATCGGAATGGACTACTTTTAGTGACCATTTCAAATAAGTGAATTTGGTTGATGAAATTTAGATATGTTTAAAATAAATAGCTGGAGAAGTAACATTTTAGGGTGTGTATGCGGAAAATAGTTAAGTTATAAAAGACATTAAAACATTAGGAAAAAAAATGTAAAAATGCTTTCTTTCCATGTGGATTGTCAAATAAAAAAAAAAAGAAAAAGAAGCAAAATAGCTATTGAAACACTGAATTCCTGAAATGCTGTTGTAGGTTTAACAGTGGTGTTTCTAAATGATAATAATGTAAATAGAATAGAAAAAAAATGAATATATGCTATTACCTGCTAGCCTTTCACTGGAAAACTGTGCCATATAAAAACATTTTTCCATGTCAAACTAAAAAGAAAGGAAAAGCTTCTTATGCCCGAGGGTATGTTTAATTACATTAAACTTCTAAGTCACTGGAGTCAAATTTACTTTTAGCATACATGTATGTATTGCAAGTAAATGTTTGAATGTTTGAATGTTTGTAGTGCTTATAAGAACTCCTTCAATAGGACTTTCCCTCCTCCTAACCTTTGCAGCACAGTACTGATCTTTTTTGCCATAGCATTTTAGGCTTCCTCACGGTTACCAGATTCACTTTCTTTCAGTTTTTCTCAGGAAACTGACAGCATGCTTTCTATATATGCATTAAGTGCATATATAGTGCATATTATAGTGCATATATATATATAGTGCATATATAGTGCATATTAAGTGCATATTATATGCATCCAAGTCTGACAACTCAGACAACGGCGGTGGTAATTTTCGAAGTGATGTGTTCTATATTGTCTGAGAATCAAAATCCACTCAATAAAAAACAGAAATAAAATGGCCTCAGAAGTCACAGGCAACTAATGAGAGGGGAAGGCATCAGAAAAATCCAAGATATTTCATATAGAGCAGCTCACACCACAAAGCAACAAAGCGTTCCAAGAATATGTTTTTTATACACTCAACATGGTTTTCATCCGCACCTCATTAGCACACAGATAATCCTGGCCAGCTAGTGCCCTTTAAAATAAGCGGATTTATTTGCCACCTTTCCAGGGCTTTCGCGTCGCCCCCTCGGCCGCTGCAGCCGGGGCGGCCGCGGCGCTGAGCCGCGAGCTGAGGCCTCCTCGCTCCTGCTCCTGGCCGCGCGCGTCTCGGGGCGCCGCGCGCCTGCCAGCTGCCTCGCTCACCCACCTGGGGCCTGCGCAGGTGGAAGGGGACGTCCCGCGGACGCCGAGCGCGGCCGCAGCGYGCGGACGCCCTGACAGCTGCCGCGTGAAGCTCCCCGAGACTCACTGAGTGCATCGCCCAGGCCTCGCTGCGCAGGGTGCTGCGCTCATCCCCACCACGCACTATCTTCCAAGGGGACCCCCCCAAACTGACTAAAACCTGGCCAGGGCAGAAGAGAACTGCAATCGAGCCAGCTTGCAAGGGAGCCGTGCGAGAGCACATTTCACCTTGGTCTCCCTGTCCCTCACCAAGCTACAGCTGAGCACATCGCAAATGGCATTTCTGCCTGTCCATTCCCCTTCAATGGGATTTTCGCAAGTCAAAAAAAAACAAGCGAGTGCAGCCACGGACAGGCCCTCGACCCAGCTCTGCTTGCCCTCTGCTTTGTCCTCAATATATAGCTAAAAACACTACACTCCCGCCATCAGAATAAAGGAGCAAAACTTGAGATCTCTGCTGGTTAGCGGCACTTACTGTTTTGGGAGGTAAATGATGTGAGCGATTTTCATGTTTTTCATTAAACTATCAGCTCAGCTTTAGGAACCAACATCTTGATCTTAAACATTTAGGAATGAAAGCAAAGCAGCGCAGGAAAGAGGTAGCCTGAGGTTACCGCAGCTCTGGAAAATGGAGCGGAGTCGAGAAAAGCCTGAACATTGTGAGGCTCCGTGTGATACGCTGGAGAGGAGGAAACATGTCTGTAAATAAGCAATGATCCTCTCRGAGCTGGCACTGCAGCTTGAAAACTGCAGCTTTCCCTCTTTACTTATTTACTATTGGAATTTTATACAAATGCCTATTGAAGTAACTCCAAGTGTGATGACTATATCTCAAAAGTGGGAAGAGGGAGGATGACAGCCTTTCGAGTACGGCAATCTGGTTAAAAAGTGGATTCGTGGGAAAAGTAGGAGATTCTTTTTATTCAAATGAGGAGCGATTGCGGATGACAAGCACAGAAACACAGCGCCTGAGAAACAGTTCTTCCTGCCATACGTTAGAAGGACATTAAGTATCTAGCACTACTGTTAAGTTTTAATAAAGGGGTGGGGTTAAATGTTCAGTCCAAAACTCAGGGTTTTCCTGAAGGAAAAAAAAAAAAAAAAAGAAAAAAAAAGATTCTTAGCTTCTCAGCTGTCATCAAAAGACACCTACTTTCAGTTTGAGAGACTCCTAATCTTGTAAATGAACTTATGAACTGAACGTTTTTTCTTAAAGGAAAGGAGGAAGAAATAGTTACCTGCCTTCATCTTCAGAAAGGCGTAGAAAGTGCAGTTTGGAGAACAYGCAATATAAGCATAATCAGGACTAAAGGCTCAAACTCTTCTCCAGTAAATCCAATGGAAGACTCTAGCGGCTTCCGGATGAAGTCTGAGACATTCCCGGCTGTTTTTTGTATTTGCATTGCAAAGTAAACAGAAAGCAATGCTGCTGTTTCCCTGACAGCGAAAGGGATCAGTATCGCTTTTTTCACTTTAGCTTTAAGTAAACTGACAAAAGATAATAAACCCTTACACAAACAGGCATCCAGTAGCAATGGGACCCCAATTTTAACGCTGCTTATAGACCTCAGAGAATCAAACAATTTTATTTCATATAGTTTTCATTTGAAAATGCAGTGAAGATGCCACTACTGATTTTGCCACAAGCGGTTTGCAAATTCTGGCTTTCCAACTAGCAAGTTTTCACACTATATACAATAAAACATAGTTAAGCCTATCCTGAATCACTGTAAACATTTCCTAATGTAATGGGTAGTGAAGACAATAATGGTGTCCTTGCGGGTGGGAGTCTTTTTATAAGAGTTTCTTTCTTGCTAACTGCTTCACCAAGCTCATAATATTTCAAGTAAGTAAGTTCACGRTTTCAATGGGGAACTTGATAAATATTTGGAAAAAAAAAATCTTCTTTTTCCTCGTGGGGAGCAACTCAACAATGCTCTCTGTCCGCTCTTGGCCTCTCAAAATGCAGAGTATTTGCTCTTCCAAGCGCTAGATGCCTGTGTCTGTGCGCTCTGGATGAGCCGAATAGTCTGCAGCGGAAGTGGCACCCGTGGCATCGCTGYGCGGAGCCCTGTGCCAGGGTGGCACTTTGACAGGCTTTGCCACGCTACAAGCAGAGGTCACGGCATGTTCTGCTCTGCATGTCCTAGGGATGCTGACCYGTGTGCTCGCGGCGGCCGCGGGCCCGCGCGCTGCTCTGCTCTGCTCGTCCCTAACTAAATAATTAAACCCGCGGTCTCAGGAGCGCGGGGCTCCTTCCCTGCGCCCGCCCGCGGCCGCTCGGCTGCGGGGCCGCGCGCAGTTCCGCGCCCGCGGGAAGGGCCGCGCGGGAGGCGAGCGCCGAAACCCGGGGCAGAGGTGTCGGGCTGGGGGTGGGGGCAAGAGGGGACGCGGCCGCAGACGCTAAAGTCCTCATCAAAACTGCGTTTCTCTGCGAAACTCTGCTCTGCCCCCGCTCCCCTTCCCCCCGGGTCTACGCTCTACCACGTGCTGGGTTTTTCCGCGTGTATTTCTKCCCCGCAGCCCCAATAACGCTGGTGTTAGGGATGGAGACCCCAGTGCCATCGGCAGCGGCCGGGCCGGAGCCGGCACCGGAGTCGGGGCCGGGGCAGCGCGGGCGGCAGCGCGGAGCCCCCGGCCCCATCCGCTTGGGGGTCCCTCCCGCCCCCCGGGGGAGAAGCGCGAGCCGTTACCTGAGCTGTCGCTTTTCCTTTTGCCGGATCTCTTCTCCGTTTCCACCGGGGACAGAGCCTGCCTGCCATAGTCCCCCGGCGCACACGCTGCCCCCGTGGGGGTGTTAGTGCCCAGGCTGGAAGAGTTCGAACAGAGTACGGGGGGGCTGCTGCCCAGCTCCGGGGGTCCTGCTGAGTCGGGCTGAAGGCAGAGGCTGTGCCTGGCCGCGGCGGGAGGAGACGACATCTGCGGAATGTGCCAGTTCGTCTGCAAAGCCTGGTGCTGCTGTTGCTGGTGGTGGTGGTGGTGATGGTGGTGATGGTGGTGGTGCCCCCTATGATGCTGGCTGGCAAACATGCCCTCCTCATTGGGGTATCCCGCTATTATGCAAGAGGAAGAAGAAGAAGACAGATCAGGGTAGGACATGTGGTCAGATCTTCCATGCAGGGCCAGAGAAGACTGGGAGAAAGGGTGCAAGCTCTGCGCGGTGGCATGGGGGCTGCGCAGGCAGCCAAAGAGTGTGTGATCCATGGCATGCAAGTCTCAGGTTCCAGGCAGCAGAACTTAGGAAGGATCCAACTTCACCACCCTTTGTCAACTTTCACTGTAAACAGATCGGGGATGGGATTATTATTTTTTTTTCCAAAACGGCAACGACAGAGTGTGCAGCAGGCGGCTGAGCTCAGATAATCCAGGTCTTTAGCCCTAGTGGCCACTCTCCGCCGCGCAGACGCTCGGACCTGGATGCGCCCTTCTCGGCGCCGCGCAGATGTCAAGAAGTGCGAGAGCTTGAAGCCAAGAGAAGGTGGTCCCAGAGAACTGCTCGGAGGGGGAAACCGCTCTCCGAGGCTATAAATACAGTAGTGTGTAATGTGAGCTGGGGGCTGGCTCAGGAGCGCGGCACTGACCACATGCGAACTCCCTCCAAAACGCCCGCGCCGGCCCCGCGCCGAGCGGCGCGGGCAGCGGGCGGCAGCGCTGCGCCAGGCCCAGCTCCGCCAGGCGCTCCATGACCCGCCGCACCCGCTGCGGCGCCTCGGGGTGCTCCCTGCGGCGGGGGGCCCAGGCGTCCGGGAGGACCCCCAGACCCCCCCATTGCAGCCTTGTGGTTCCCCTCCACAAGGGGCCCCGGCGTCCGGGTGCCTCCCCCCCGCCCCCAAGGGGCCCCGGCGTCCGGGCACCTGTCCCATGGGTGCTGGTGCTCGGTCATCCGCTCGTCATAGAGCAGCCCCGTGCGGGCGGGGGGCGGGGCTGGCGGAGGCCACGCCCCCTCCTCGGGGGGCGGGGCTGCTGCGGGCTCCGCCCCCTCCTCCTCCTCCTCTTCCTCCTCCTCCACAGGGGGGTCTGGCGGCTCTGTGGGGAGGGGAGGCAAGATGGCCGCTGTGATGCTGTCATGGCCGCCCCCGTGGGTGCCGCCATGATGGCAAGATGGCTGCCCCCATGGCGGAAACGTGGCCGCCAAGCGACCGAAAGGGCGGGAAATGGGGTTGCATGACAACCAAGATGGCTGCCTAGCAACCGAGAGGGTGGGAACAGGGCGCCTGGCAACCAAGATGGCCACCTAGCAACTAAACAGGGTGGGAAAAGGCTGTCTGGCAACCAAGATGGCCACTTAGCAACCAAAAGGGCGGGAATAGGGCACCTGCCAAACAAGATGGCCACCTAGCAACTAAAAAGGGTGGGAAATGGCTGCCTGGCAACCAAGATGGCCGCCTGGCAACGGAGAGGGGGCGGGAACAGGTTGCCTGGCAACCAAGATGGCCACCGGGCAACCCAAAAGGCGGGAACAGGGCACCTGGCAACCAAGATGGCTGCCCAGCAACTAAAAAGGGCGGGAAAGGGCTGCCTGGCAACCAAGATGGCCACCTAGCAAC